TTTACAAGATAATTACAAGTGTTTCCAAAGCATATCCTTAAAAGTGTGTCAATATCGTGAAAAAGGACAAAATGAAGAAGTTCATTGCAACGTAGTTTAGAAACGTATTCTGTATTATTGCTGTAACTTGATTTCTACAGGAAACACATCCCTAGAAAATTGCTCACATTTCCGTTCTATACAACAGACGTAATTGTGTACATCCAGATGTTGTTGCAGCGTGATGGTGAAGAGTGTTAACCTTTATCTATAAGCAGTGGTAATGTAGTGTATACTAGTTCTACTGTCTCTCCAAATGAAAGCCACATTGTCCATAAAACCTAATCCTGTTAGAAAGGAATTTCAATCGATCTTTTCCTCCCTCCCCCACCTGTCAATACACTATCCTCTGAAAGCTCCGTCTCTCTTTTTATTGAAAAGCTTGTTCTATAAACCATCTCAATTTTCTGCATTATAGGTGCAGATTTACCACCAATTTGGAGTAGAGCATAAAATTAAAAAAGGCATGTTTGATTTCTCGACAGCTCTCCACCTTCAGAAGTACCGTTTGTCTTCTCTGCTTAGGTGATGATATAACGAGCAGGTGTTCACGGGTTAATATTTACCATCGCCCCGCTGAGAATGTTGGAACACGGCTCGTGTGTGTTCACAGGGGATGAGTCATTAAGTTTGTGTCACCGTGTGTGTGTGTTCGTAGGAGAGGAGTCATTAATGATCTTTGTGGACAAGCGGAAGTTGAGTCGGACGTCTGAAGTGAGTGAATCCAATGGCACAGCTGTGACGCTGGAAGCTCTGCACCAGCTGGCTGCCTCCTACTTCATCGACAGGGAGAGCACCCTGCACAAGCTGCACCACATCCAGATCGCCTCCACTGCCATCAAGGTAAAAGTCTGCTTCTCTCCGGGCTTCTGTCAAACACAATAAGACTCCGATTTTTTTTTTTTTTTAATAAGCTTTAAATTACCCCCATTGCTGGATTTTTCCACATGTGATTACAGCCATTTGATGAGGTCCTTCATCTAATGAGATTTAGTTTCAGTGGATAAATGTAATTATTGTATTTTTCAAAATATGGCAAGTGGTCTTGATTTGCTTCCTTACTAAAGAATCAGTGAAATCATGGGCAGTGTGGGGCGATTTAATGGAAACTCTACAATCAGCAGATTTAGCTAATTTATACAAGTGGAGCTGTTCCCCTCAGCCAATCACATATTTTTTTTTTTCATCTTTTAGGATTTAATCTCCTAATTGACTTGGTGTTTATCCCTTCAGACACTGTATTTCACTGTATTTTGACTGTCAGACATTACCTCTTAATGCACCAGCCGACATGAGACTTGTTTATATAAAACACAGTATGGTGAGAACAGGATATCATGGGATCTTTACCTGACTCTGACTAACAGTTGTTTTTGTGATGATGTTTTTGAGATGGTAATTGCACTCGTTCTCCCTTCTGGGAATTCATGTTGGAACAAATTAAGAAAACCGCACTCCACAATGGTCAGTACTTGCCAAGTACTTTCCGCTTACTACCAATTACTGTATGCAGTTTACAACCCATGGATAGACCCTCAATGGGCAACCTTGGCCTGCCTCAAAAGCAAGATATCATTATTAAAGCATATTTTAAAGCCCTTGGTTGAGAGAATTAGAACTTTTTAAAGAGCGGAACCTCCATATGGTATAATAAAAGACAGCTTTTTTTTTTCTTTTTTTTTAACAGTTTTTAATGAACGAACCATTAAGAGCGAACACATTTGAAGACCTTACCTAACGTCCAAGCCAAAATCCAGCCGTAGTCTTTTAAATATTTCAACAGTGCTTTAAAGTGAAATTATCCAGAGAGAATGTCTTCAGAGAGGCAAGTTCTGTCTAACTTAATAGATTTGCTTCAGAAAACTGTTGGGTTACAGAGGTGGTTGCCAAGCTGACAGGATTACTGTTTTTTTTTTTTTTCCAATTTTGGCTCTAAATGTGAAGATAAGCTTCGTGAGTTCATCAAGGTTCTTAAGTTCAACATTTACTGCATAGACACGAGAGTGGAAATATTTAAATTGGTTACATTTATTTCTGCCCTTGCAGAAGCTCACACTTTCTCAACAAGAAAACACATCATACACCAAGTTTTTTTTCTGTCTCTTAGTGGCTTTACATATTTGTTTGCTGGCTACAGACAGGTTTGCCTCACATCTCTGACGAGACCCCCTCAAGATGAATACTCACATCTCAACGGACACACTGCGTATAGACTCACATCTCTGTTTCTGGTTGAACTGTTTTAAGTATTTATTGCAGTGAGGTGCAGTAACTAAGAACTGACCTTTCCAACAATGCTAGTTATTTGTGTATCCAACGAGGTGTTAGAAAGAACAAATAATCTCGATTTTACATCAAATTTAATCAGAGTTACAATCTGCATAAAACCTTGCTTACATCTCCACACCCACTGACCTAGTTTGAATTACTCTTGAAATCCTCATTGCATAGATATGTAAATATCTAGATGTGGTAATATGTATGCAGTGTAATCATGCATATATATTATGTTTATGCAGTGAAATGTTACTATTACAAGAAATAAGGGCACAATTTAAACTTTCCAATGGTACAAGTTGTTTCTCTGCACACCAAAGATTAGCGCTGTTTGAAATCATAGGAGATGTCTGCATTCTTTCCAACAGAGGTCTGACGTTATGTCCCACCTCATATGACACATGAACACAAAATAATGGTTTTGGTTTCCATTGCAATGATTAAGAAGCTGTTTTCAAAAGATTTAGGTGATCCTGGACTCTGCAAAGTGGTCATTGAGGGGCCCTTGTTTAGGAGGATGGGGGAAAACCTGTCTGGTTTACCACTTCTGCAAGTAGGATGCTATATGTGAACACTTGTAAAATAATGATTTGTTTTTTTTTTTTTTTTTTGTTCAGCACTGAACACATTTTCTTTCTCAGTTTCTAAGTCATGTAATATCCCACCATCGTGGTTCTAATATTGCCAGGTTCCTGAAAATCAAGCCTACACAGTTATGAAAACATATCTCTGGTGACAGCATGTTACAGTGAAATATGTGTAAAAAAAAAGATCCTTTCATTAAACAAAATGCTTGTTTACTTTGATAGATATGAAAAAGAATATTAAAAATCTGCAAGTATTATTATATTAAATAATGAAAGATCTGGGTAGCCTAGAGTGTTCTGGAAAAAAAAGGAAATAAAATAAAAACAAGACAAAGCATATTTGGCTCACCCTTAAAATATTAAATGTATAAACATTTAAAGAAAATTCAAATGAGCCTGACAGAGGGCTCGGGTTAAAACACGTAATATGCTGTATTTCCAGACCATCCACAAAGACACATGCATTCTTTCTTTCTGCTCTCTGTCACCAAGACATCATTGTTTGTCAGTGCCTCCAAAAACAGATAAATGTTTCAAAAGTGTGTATATTTCTTTATCTGAGGCTGTAGGATTAAGGTTTTGTTATATTTAGGTGGACAAATAACTTTAGTCTGCTGTATTTAGGCAGCTGTTAGTCTTGATCAAACCAAAATGTAAAATATATATTTTTAGTAGAAGAAACATCATGCTTCATAACGGATAAACTGAATGATCTGCTTGACATTGTTTAGCTGGGTGATTAAAAATACATGTTTCCCTGCGAACATTGCATCGTGTTCGCTTTACGGTGCTTTGATGTGACATTTGAGTAAACGTTCCTGCTCAATGAGCAACACAGAGTTCAACCAAGAGAAGAGCCGAAGCGAGCAGTATTGTTTACTTCCCTCCTCGCTCGTTCATGTGTGTATTCACAAGCTTGTATACGAAACAGCCTGCTGTGCATATCAAGATATGCTTATGATGTAAATATCACCCTGCATCTTCTACTGCTTAATACCTTCAGGGTGTGTTCATTCATCACTCTGTCAGTTGTTATCAAGCCTGAAAGAATCGACTAGGCTGAGTTTGCCCTTCGCAGCAGACTTCCCTTTGTTTTCTGAGGAATCTGTTCCCTCACGTGGCTTTAATTTGTTTACACTCGCTTGTGGTAAACAACAGATTAACGTCACAGAATGTAGGTAATGACAGCAATCTGCAAAACCGCCAATCTGAGACACTGTCAGCTTCTACAGTCTGTTTGTCATGTGATTACACCTGTTCCTGCAGTGATAGTTCTGTCACTGAAAGCACCAGAAGCTGAAAACTCTGGCCTGACTAACAGAGCCACAGCTATTGCCTCGATGTCAACTGTATTTAGATCCGTGACAGGATTTGTTTTCCTACAATATTGCTGCGTGACACTGGTGCTTGACGTGAAAGGACATTTACATTTTGAAGACGAGTGTAGTCATGAGATGAGAAGCATCCAGCACATAAGGGCACCAAAGTGAGTACAGAAATTAATTTGACTTGGGGGCGAGAACTCAGTAAAAACAAAACCGCAAATGGAAAAAAAAAAAAAGAAGAAACAAAAAAAATTCAAACCCTAACCTACATCCACACGGACTGACAATCTTCCTCAGTGACAGGATCTGTTCCAGGTGTCACTACAAGACCTATAAGAGGTCACACAATCCAAAGCAGCTTTAGGAAACACATACTTAAGTACTAGTACCACAATTATTCTGATATATTATGTTAGCATAATTGTCGCTGATGACAGTATTATGCATCGTGTGGAACTGAAGCCATAAACTTTTTTTTTTTCCACTAACTATTTGGCCTAGAGCCCAGGGTGATGTATTCAAATTGCTTGTTTCCTCTGACTAACAGACCACACTACAATGACAACAAAACAGGAATCAAACAACACAACCTCACACTGGAAGTCCCAGAACCAACAACTTTGGCACAGGTGTTTGTTAATGACTATCAGGTAACTGACTCCCAAAATCGTTGCTATTTTTTTTTTCTATTTTGTTGAAAATCTAATCACTACAATTGTTTTTAAACTAACATTACCCATTACCTGCTCACTATAAAGGCACAATTACTGAGTAATTCTGATATGGTGAAGTGAGCAGGTGCTGGAAGAGGCAAGAAATCCTGTCTTTGGTTTTGGGCTTACACACGTGTTGCCAGGACCTTGAGGTGTACAAGATCTGTTTTGAAATGAACCACCCATCTTCAGATGTTGTTCGCCCTCTAAATGACTGTTATCATCATTCAAATACATATGGACCAGAAGGGAGCTTCTCCATCTTCTAGTAGGACCAGCAGGGCACTATCATCCCATTTAATGGAGCTCCATCATCACGCTATTTAATGGAACCATGATTTTGCATATACAAAGAGGAATAAAAGTCCACATGTAGAGGTCGGAAGGGATGGAGTCAGCTGATTCCCCAGTTTGGTCTCAGACTATTCTTTCAGTATTCTTCTTTGACTTAAGACTTTTTTTTTAAATTTCGCTTAGACTCCCTGGATTTCACTCCGTTTGTCAGGTTTAGACACCATAAGTACTTGGTTGAAGTTAAAGTACACCCTGTCTGTACATTTACCACATGTAACAAAGCTCCATTTCATTCAGTTTCCACTGTGAAAACTGCACAGGAGATTTTACGTGCATTTTTTGCAAAACCATAAGAGGTCAGTTATGTTATGAGTTACTTTATGTTCATCAGTGATCAGCATATGTCATAACGCTCTTTCTAGCCTACAAGAAGGTGGAGGAGTTGCCTACTGGCTTTGATGTATTGGAATAACGTGGGATGATAATTTCCTTTTAATGGGCTGATAACATCCGAACTGGGTGAATTAACAAATGTGAGGATGATACATGCGTTACATCAGCTGCATTTGGTTGGATTTTAAATTGTGAGCTTTAAATTCATATCATGAATAAAAACATTAACAAGAATGGCTCACAGAGCGTGTTTG